GATTAAAAGAGAAAAGTGAACAATTTATGTCACTGTAATTCTAAACCTAATGAATTGTGCTTGAAAAGAAAAAAACTCACACGTTCCCTCACCTTGTACTGGTTGAATTCATCAATATCTCTTGCAAATGAGAGTACAATGTGGATGAGGATTTCGGTATGTTCATTTTTTGGTTCTCAACAATACAAATAAAAAGTAACAAAACTTTATGCGCATTGAAATAAGAGTAAGAGTAAAACAAAAACAAAAGTTAATAAAGAAACACAAACGTGAATACAACTAAACGAATCGTTAATCTTCGCAAGCAACATCCAATCAAACATCACCGAATAACGATCTTACACAGATGTAATAAGCAACGTATCGTCCCATTTCAATGCAATCAACACTTTTGATGTTAACTGCTGTTGCAACGCTTAAAGCATTCTTACACAATCCAATACGCACTCAACTTACATATCACTCATTTCAACATCCTAAATGAACTAATTGATGTGCACTTCATAGAAATACTTCCCTCAGATGATCAATCAAGCGCACACAAACCTTGTTTAATCACAACACAAACTTTGAATACAACTCGTACAAAACAAACGCACGGCTTCACCTACGTTACGCAATAAGCAAAAACCCTTCCGTACAGCCGAAAAGACCAATAAATTGAACAGTAACATTTTCATTACAATGAAGAAATTAACTTGATACGAGCAGTAATATGGTAACTTCACTACGACTTACTCGCAAATATGCTGCGCATGATTACGATACGTGATAGTGCATTATTGCAGAACTCGATTGGAGAAGATATCGCTTCAGACATTCTATCGAATAAATAATGAACCATTGTCATTCAATCACTCATTACATTATTTAGCCTGAATGTTAACCTAAGTTATTTCACACAATAGAATGCCAAGTTTGCGTGGTACAAATACGATGACTTGGTCAGGGAGGGAAGTATGACGGATAGTGATCTAAAGAGAGCTCAAAGAATGCGATATGGACGATAAGAAAGCATACCTATTATCTTCATGAGCTCTTTCCAAGGAGGCAGTATTACGGAGATCAAAAATTTTATCGTTTATGCAGATATATCACATAGCAATAGGATGCACGTAAACCAGACACCCATCATCAGGACCATTATTTAAACAGCACACCTATCAACGAGTTTGGCTGTAGTGCATATGCCAAGAATGACGTTTATTCAACTGCAGCCTACATCCTAAGCCTAGGCTAGCCAAAAACTGATTATAAGCGCAACATTTCATATCTTAACGGAAACGGCACGTTTTGTTCTCACGTAACGCTTCAGCATTGTCAAAAATGCCTCAGAAGATAATCTATGACCTGAGTGTGCCTTTACCATACGCACTGGCGCATGCTTGCTAATGTGTGAAATGCATGCATAATGAAGTCGCCATACTATCAGCGATTGCAGAGAAGAATATTTAAAAGAACTGATTACCAAATTTCAATGGACGAAACGTAGAGTAGAAAAAAACAATACATGACCAACTTCTAACAACATTTGTAATCATGGAACATAAAAACATAATAATTATCAGATATTAATAGAGATGACCATGATGAAGATACTCTGTTGATCGAAACTGAATGAATTTTGTTATTTAACATCAAAACTAAGCGACTCTACTAACAATATCAAACACATAACGAAAAACGGTATGAACCATTATTGAAATCATTTTCTGGAAAAAGTAAACCGCTCGTTCAGAAAAGTCCCAGTTCTCATCAAATGTTCAAATGATGAAAATGATTCTGAAATGTTAGCACTAGTAATTTCTACCCTGAACTTCTTTGTTGAAAATTCATAGTACTTTTCCAGAAAACCCCGTAAATACAATTTTGACAACATTTGGGAATTCCTGGAAACTGGAACAGAATGTGTATCCATTAGAGAAATAGCCAATTTTTGGCAGTCATTCTTTGCATTTACACAAAAAGTCCTCAAACTGTACATAGATTCCATTAGAATGAGATTTCGTTCCCTACATCACAGAAATAAGCCGCATTTGATTTCATTCCTTGTACAACATCAAATTCTTCGATACCTGCAAGCCAATTCTTCATTTTTTGTTTAATTTGATTTCTCTTAATGAAAAACTGGCCGGTTGGTGACCCGTAAGATTACTGATTTATCATCGCAGTTTTTTGACGTTCAAAAACAGTTCACCGACTGCATCAGAATTATCGCTCTAAGAAGCGTATGACCCGAAGTGCAGAAGAGCCACTCGATACCTGCTTTCAATACGTTCAGCCACTGGCTAGGTTAATAAAAGACTTTATCAAGCATATACGCTGAGTTACACAGTGTATCATTGACCCATTAATCAGCCGTTCAATCCCTATCCATTTACTTAAAAATAAGCATTAATTAAGCGATTAATCACACGAATTATTCACATTGTTACTATTGGCGTTAACATTACGATTGTTAACTACATCTCTTGAACAATCCCGAAACCACTTCGAGTCTACACCTTATTAATGATTCAATGAGTTTTTTGAATATTTTGTTCTCTTTTCATTTAAGGAACTATTTTTTGGAACAAAAAACTTCAAAGAACACACTAATAATGAAGTAGAAAGGAATCCGTCGAATGAAAGTCGAATCCTTCGAACAGCATAACAACAAAGTATGACATGACGAAAATTATGTTTCAATCAGTTATGCATTAGATAATACGAACATCATATATAATCAACGATTTGGTCGATCTAGTTGAGCACGATACATCTTGAAACGTGAAATTCGCTTGCTTGGTTCACAGTTCGACTGAGCGCTGATCTGTTCTTGCCTTGCCTCTTGTTGCCGAACAGCCGTAATTGTCTTGGACGAGCTTGTTGACGCATTTGGATTCAACCGTTCGCAAACAACACCCGTGAACACCTAAAAATGAAAGCATTATGACCAGATTAATGCAGCAAAAAAAGATGCAGCAATCAAGAAACCTCTGGTGATGTAGCAACCACTGGCCGGTGATCTCTGCATTCAGCTTCCGCAACTGCTTTTGCGTTGATGGGAGAACGTTCAGAACTGTTACGCAAAATTGATCGACGAGGTAATGATGTTGAGAAGCGTGGCTCATCGTTTCTTATCTGAACCTTGCAAACATTAAGAATGACAGATGAAAATTTTTGGGAGAACCACTAAGGGAACAGATATTATTTGAGAGAAGCAAAAACTAGTGGAAACTAGAAGAAACTAATCTTAGAATTGAATCAGTAATAAAAACATTCCAGTAGTTGAGGTCATTGCATGGAGCGCTCAGAGTAAAACTCATAATTCAGAATCTCAGAAACTGAAACGATTGACTGCTTATTTGAAAATACAAAAAAAAACGATGCAATATAATTACAGGTTTTGGCTCATCTTCAACTTTCTCTGTCATTTCGATCGACTGTTTCGAATCCTCTTCTGAGCGTTTATCTGATTCATCCTTATGACAAATGGCGACATCTTCAGAAGCACATTCAAGTTCATTACTAAATCGAACTGAATGTTGTGTGCGTTTTGCCTTCTTCTTTTCATAGTCAAATCTTCTCGTTTTAACATCAGCAAACAGAGGCGGTGAGACGTTGTCCATTTCGTTAGGTGTTGAAGGAGAATTCAATTGGCCGCCAAAAATCGTCGCTCCAGAGTTGCTGCTACAAGTTTCATCACCACCCTCTTTTGATACAGTTTTTCCTTTACTTTTCACTTCATTATTCTTCACGATCACTGCTGAAGTACTTGCTTTACCCGTTGTGCTCTCCTGAAGGCGTTCATCAACTTCCCATTCTGGTAAATCGTCCGAATCAAGAACACTGAAACTATTCGAATAATCAGCGGTAATGAATGTTCGATGATAACTGCAGAGCATTGTTGCTAAATTGATCAATCAATTATTAGTTGTTGAAACTGAATACGAGAACGAGCAACACAAAACGCAATAAGCAACTGAAATTGTTGTAAACCTTTCGTTATCTTCTGAATACAGTTCGTTTTCTTGGTTCTCTTCACGCTCTATCCTATTTAATTTCTCCATTAATAAAGCATACTCCTGAAATAACCAAGCAACAGATAAACGGAAAAATACCTAAGAACTCATAACAAAAGCTTGTCCAACGAGCTGAGGACCAAAAAAAATAAAGAAAACAAGGTTAAATTTCACATTGAAAGAATATCTTCAAGACTGCTCGTCATTTATATGAAAGCTGACTGCCAATGATGATCGCCATCATCAAAACTTTAGTTTCCAACTTATTACAATTGATTAAGAAAAACTTGATGACACATTACGAGGCTAAGTCCAAGAAACATAATATAGTTACCTTTTCATCAATGCCCTTGGGTGGAACGCCGAACTTTCCCGGTTCCTCATCGATGACTAGTTGCTGCAGTTCTCTGAAATTAAATTGAAAAAATTCGAAAACAGCGACTTATAACTACACCACATTTGCCCAACACTAATGAAAGATTTTAAAACTCGAGACCTTTCGTGATCAACTGATAAGGATTCTTCCTTTTTGTTCTCTTCACATTCTAACCTATCCACATTTTCCGCTACCACAACAAATTCCTGCAATAATTCGACTGATTTTATTGAACTGAAAGTTTGAATTTGCCACATAACTTGAAATGCACAAGTAACTTAATAAAATAAAGTGAACTGATGAAAAAATGTTCCAGACAAATAATTTAATCGTCTTTTGCAATCAGCGAACGTGAAAGTGTCGAAATAATCGTTTTGAGTGTGTGAAAAAGTGTCGGCAAAAATTTCTTAAACTACAAAAGTATCGACAAAAAATTTTTCAACTGGAAAAGTGTCGATGAAAACTTATTTAACTAGAAAAGCATCAACATGGTAAGTCAAAAAATATGAACTATACGAGAGTTGGAGCTGAAACGTTGACAAAATCAGCATGCCTGAAGTACTGAGTGTTAACATATAAAGGGTGCAAAGAACATATTTCTTATAATGATCCTACCTTACTACTGACGTCATTCGATTCCGTTCCGAAATTTTCTGTTCTTTCATCTGCATTCTTCGATTTGAGTTTCTTTCTGAAATAATGGCGACTGAAATGAGATATCGCTCATGATGTTGCAACTGGAGAACTCATCAAGGACATAACTGCAAAGCAAAAGTGCATAAACTTAAGCATCTGATTCACAACAGACAACACCAATCTTTCAACAAGAAAAGGCGATCGCAGATTATGATACAAAGAGGATTTTTGATTATTATTTCAACAAGCTCAATCTTGGAATGCAATCTNTTACTCGATGACACTACACTCTGCAGCCAAAACGAATAGAATTGAATTGTAATTTAATGAACAAAAACAAATAAAATTTTCAAAACAATATGATACACATATATGATTACAGATATGAAAGATCAAACAGAAAATGGCGTTGAGATCCCAAAAACTTTATTTCTGCAATGCAAATAACTGACATCAATGTTGAGAAAGTCATGCTCACTTATTAAGAATTGTAATGAGAACCAACCTCATCAGAAGTTCCCAAAAAATGCTCTGGAATGGCAGGTACCTTTTTTCGTCGATTCCTTTTCACTGAAAGCAAGCAAAAATTAATAACACTTCGGCTGTTCACATGTATTATTTCAAGAAAGACGCATCCCAGAAGAAACTGAAAAAAATGAAAAAAAATTTTCCCCAGTAAATGTTTTATATAACAATTAGAAAACTGACCAAAATGAAAGAATATTTGACAACTATGAATCGTATATTTTCATTCAATTTCCATTTATCAAACATTCCAAATAGGAAACCGTTGTTTTACTCTAAATGAAATCTAAGAATGATTCGTAAAATTTCATATTATAGTATAAGCTTCCTTACGCAAAAAAAGAAACAAAAGTTAACTGGTACAGGTGAGCAAAACGCACTCTTGAATTCAAGTTCTTTTTGTTCATCATACGGTTCTCTTATCTCAACTTCGTCAGTTTCCTACAACAACGAAAACTATTATTATTCAACAAAGGTGGCCAAATATCACTATAATTCAGAACAAATTCATGTAGCAAATCGGCACAGAAAAGCTGAAACTCTGGGTAGACTAGAATCTTTATGAGCGGGAGCATAATAAAGTGGTATAACGAGAATTCGAATAGACTTTAAAATGTAAACAGAAAACTGGCCTATCCGCAAAAAGAAATTGTCAATATTCAGAGTAGAGCAGCGGTTCTCAACCTTTTTCCCCTTCTCATCCCCTAAAAAATTTTAAGACGTCCTCGTACCCCTAAAACCACATTTGAAATTTGCTCGCACCCCTCACAAAACCCACTCTGTATCTCTCATCCACTACAGTGAGTGCTTGTAGTGTAGACAAGTGTCTACCTTTAGAGTACGTTCTAGCCTTTTCAAAAATGTATACGTTGGAGTCCATCCTCGCCTACTTTAAAATAAAACCTTATCTTGCACTCCGTTTCACCCCACCCTCTCTCGTACCCCGGTTGCGAAACCCTGGAGTAGAGGGAACATTGGAAAACAAACACGCACACTTACTCGGTTGAAAATTTTTTCACCAAAATCAATTCGCGATTGAATCATTTCCTTTTCACGTTCAAAACATTCGAGATTTTCCTCAAGTTCTGAAACTTTAAACGTGTTACAAGAAACTCTTAATTTGTTTTATATACGTCATGGCGTCTGTCACACCTAACATATTCAAAAGAATCTTTTCGGAGCTATGCACACAGCTTTTGCTTTACATCTGTCCGCTAAGGAATTCACTAAACAGGAATTACGTTTTTAGCGTTTTCCTTGCAAGACAAAGATGCACAGCAAGCATAAAACGAAACAAGAGAGAAGTACCAGGTGAGATAAATGAAACTAACTTTGGATACGACGATCGATCACTTGATTGGCCTCGTAACAAGAACACTCGACGAAATACTTGCTTCCAAGAGATACCATTAGTTTATTAGTTTGTACAATTCGACCCTTCATGTAGCCTACGGACCCAAACGGGACCTGTAAACAAACTGAGGCATAATTAATTTGATAAACTAAAACACAACTGTAGGTAAAAAGTGCATTAATACTTCACTGACAATGCGATAAAAACATCCGACATAAAAAAGATCAGATAATGAAGATGGATTCATTTTTTAAAATAATGACTTCAGTTAGATTCAATGCATTCGTACGTGAGAGAGTTTTGAAAATTGCTCATTGCTCATTTGATTCAACAGTCAAGATAATTCAGAAAGTACATTAATGTGAGAATTCTGCAACCTACCAGCTCGGTCAATTCAATGGATCAGTTCAAGATATTTATTAAAATAGAACGGCTTCAAAATAATTCCTGAAACCACTTAAAAACAATTCCAAACAACGCCCAAATTTTCTGGTACAAAAATAAGTACAAAGAAGACCTAACCAAAATTTCGCGAGACAATTTGTGGGGAAGTTCCTCGATACGACATCTCAATTGCTGATATTCTTCGATTTGATGATGATTAATTTTCATGCCATTTTCGACTTGCTTCATCTGCTGAAATAAACCGAAACAATCGGGTACTCTTCTCATTTAAATGTCGCCGTGTTCAAAGTGAGCAAAATTTTTTCTAATTCGTATCAAATCAAAACCTGAATTTGTCCAAAATGTTATTCTAGCACCGCATAGTTTTCTAGTGATTTGGATATTCAGTATCAAAGGTTCAGAATATCAAATTCGGATTAAATCATCGGCGGGTTGTTGTGTAGTTTAAATTGGCGAAACTAAAACGGCATTTCGTTTGTACCTGCTTGCCACTAAACAATTTTTTATGCCCAATAGGTCGTAAAAAAGCTTAACAAGGTTAAACAATTAACCATGGAATAATAGCAATGAAATGCAACATTAATATTACTATGAGCAATTCTATTTGTTTATTAAGTTGTTGAATTAAAATTATGAGTTGATATCGAGCACATTAATAATTGTGAGTCTTCGAATATACAAAAATAAAGCCGTCTTGATTCTACCAACGTAAATTACAGTTACCCGTCAACGGATGGTGAGCAGAACAATTCTGCTGAACTGAAAACCACCTCTTTTTCAATTCACTCAATGCAGACCTATAATTTACGAAAGAAATACCAACGTTATCAAGTGCTTTCTTGAAATGATCCATTATTGATTGGTCAGGTGAAAGATGACGAACAGGGAGATTATTTCGATCGCCTTCCATCTATAACACGAAGAGTAAATGAGACAAATTCAATATCGAATATTTATGTTCAATTTGAAAAATACCGTTAATCTGCTTCACTATAGATGTACCCTATCCTCTTGGACATAATTTTTAAGATTTTAATGACACGTAGAAATCTACATAACGTGAAACTAGAGAAAATTATCAATGGAATATAGGAAAATGAATGGAATATAGATCCTCTGAAAGAGTGGATTATAATTTGGGTACATCTTTAGTTTAGGGTCTACACCGAGCAAATAGACGTGAGCCGAAGCCCATACGTAGCCTCATCGCCGGGTGGGCGTGCCTACTACGCTGAGAAATGTGTCTATTTAAGCGTGTGAAGCCCCTAAACTAAAAAACTGCCATAATTTGCTCCATACGATTAATATATCCGTAAACAGTACATTTGCTGATAACGGGCGCCACCGCGCCATCACAGATGCTCGTGCGCTCATTCCCTTCATACATTAGTCGAAGCCTATGCGTTAGCCTCATCACTGCGCTAAAGGTAAGTCTAAGCTTAAGCATACTCATGATTTGACTTCGAATTGCATATCTAAACATGGAGCAAAGCGGTAATCTAAGCACATACGCGCAGTAACGCCCGTTATCAGTGAAAGTACCCCATAAAAATTTAAAACATAATACGGACGTTATCAAGTGGTTTCTTAGGATGATCACTCTGAAATCGATCTGATGAAAAAGCACAGGGAATACCCTGCACAAATCTTCCATCATCAAAATATGCTCAACACTTACGTTTAAAATTTCGAGCAAGTTGAAACTTCAATCGATCAAAATATCGCATCACACCACGCATCACTTCGCCACATAACGCATCCCTGCATATCTGCGGTTTCATCTTTAATACGTTTTCACTGATTGTGAGCATTGAGAATCGCTGGACTATCGAACGATACCTCGGACGTCCTCTACACTTATTGTAAGCGCATTGAATGCATGATATTATGATAGACTCTCATTTTTCATAATGGCATCTCAAATGCATGAGAATCTTAACGACTGATATTTCAAAGATGACTCCAAAAGTCTATTGGTTTCGAGGGAATTTTGAACCGATCAGCTTCGTTAATCGCTACGTATTTTAGGAATTTTCAACAGATCAACCGATTCCAAGAAACTGCTGTAGTCAATTGCAATATGCAGTTTTCTGCGAGTATTTGAGTGTGATTGAAAAATAGAATGGAAAATCGTAACAATAATTGCACTTTCTGACGTCGAAGGATGCCTAATCCCCTATAGTGATGAATCACAATATCAGTAAACGTAATGGAGAAATACTGAGGAACTAATCATTCGGTTATCTTGAAAAAATCAGTGAAAATCCGAGAAAATCTCAAATTCTTCTTAAGAAGTGCGATTTCTTGAATTAAAAAGTTTTCTTGCAGACGTAAATGTTCCGTTGTAGGCCAATTGCCAAAGCAGTGAGTTCTTTCATGTGTTCCTGACTAATGCTCTCTTCATCCTAATTCTACTTTGCAGTGATTTCTGACTCATTTGCAAATTTATACCAGCTCACAATAGTAAATTGTAATTGCTGTTGTCAGATTGTAAATTCACCAGTCATGCAAGCGAGAAAATTTCGTACGTTTATCATCGCACTTTAGTGATCTTAAAAATCAGTTGAATAATGATTATGAGAGCGATTGAGAAGGATAACCAAGCTCAAAATGCAATTTTTCGAGCTGATTTCGTTTGTTTTTTTGTTGATTTTGACCGCATTCTCTCAGGTATACACACAGTTTGCCAAGTGACTGAATTCGAATTTTCATTTGATATGTGTTCAGAAATGTGAATTTCTTACCCACTGAGCAGCAATGAATCCAAGCAATTTATATACCATTTGTAGCGTAGATCCAAGAGCATAAAACTTGACTGACAGGTTTACTAGCAATCAAGATATGTTCGAGATTTTTGATTTCGCTTTATGTGCAAAAATTTAACAAATAATTTGAATTGCTTCCCACCCAACAGGGTGATATATACCATCTTGTAGCTGAGATTGATTAACATAGGATTATGTTTTCGACATTGATGCCAATTGATCAGTTACGGAGGTTACGCCGCTTGGCGTGATCAATGGCGATGATCAGTGGTCACAGTTGGCATGTATACTGATTGATGAGCCTTCACACTCTTGTGACAAGTGAATATCTTCATACGGTTTTTGAATACTTCACTATTTTGTTCCGCGAATACTATCAGAAGTTTGTTAATGAATTATTACAAACTGCAAATGCAAACGCTCAGAAATTTAGCGGAACTGTGAATGAATATTCATCAATTAAAAAGCAACGTTATTTGAATGTCGACCTCTTTGGTATTGAAAAATTCTACTGTCTTCGAATCATGACGCGAACAGTAAAGAAATCTTTGAAATACATTTGTTCGAAGCGACCGAGGAAAAGGCGGCGAATGTGCAAGAATTATGTAACTCGACAAAAATTATGCAACTCCCATCGACAAGTGTTGAAAGTGGGCCTGCCTTCTCCGTATTTTCTTTTTTTTCTGTACAGAACTGAGGAATCAGATGACTGATGCAACAATCAACGCTCTATTCTTTCTGAAAGTTTATTTCAAGTGTCACTGAGTTTTGTTTTTTGAATCGTTTGTTGTTGTGTCAGTCTTAGGTCAATTGTTTTGTTGCAAAAATTATTTATTTTATTACGATTTTGTTTCAATTATTTTGCTTTGTTGAATTTATCGAATTTGTTGAGTTTTTTATGAATGATTTGTTGAATAAATTGTTTCTTGATTAATTATGAACGCATTGGATCAAAAAGAATATCTTGAACGTGCCACACTTCTATATTTCAAAAGTTGCTTTTCAATCCCGGGATTGAAACCCGTTCCCTGGGTTCAGAAAATGGTCAAGATTCTGCGAGCTTTGGTTGTTATGTTATGATGGAATGCCATTGTGGTGGTAATCCGATAGTTCTTTCGTTTCTTGCAGTTGGAGAGGGGGTAATCACTGTCTATCAAACCATCGAAAGGGGTAATGTAATGCTTCCAGTCGTGAGAAACACTACTCTATCCCATATTCTGAGACAATCTCATAGCAGAAGATAACCAGAGAGTTCCGTTTGTGTTGTCGGAAAATTCATTCGTATTAATTACTGATAAGCAGTAAGAAACTTGCTGGACAGTCACATCAAAATAAGTAGTCATCGATGATTTTGTTCAAACACTTCGAACCATCGATAAAGTAAACAGATGCAGAAGCACCATTCGACTATAAAGAACAAAAAGAATGCGAAAGATAAAGAAATAACGCCCCAAAGCAATCCGAATAAAATAAATAAATATATTTTCAAGCAAACGTATCGATTTAAAACGTTAAGCAATCGCCAACATTCAGTCAGTTACATGTAATCTATAGAAAGAAGCAGTTATTGTTGTTGCAAAACGATAATCCTCAACATAAAGGTTCTGTACACCATCAGTGTAACGTCTCTTGTGAATGTCAGAAATTCATGACTATTGAATCAATTTATTCATATCGCTTATGCAGTATCCGCAGAAATACAAATATTCGCAGTATAAAAATGTGGTAATACAGTCGCAATTTAAAGTTATAAACATGGTCACTTATGGTTGAAGTGAGAATGGACTTTTAGACGATTCATGAGAATATATTTTGAATGGCGTTTGATTTGGAATAATACAAACTGATCACTGGAATAAGAATGCGATCATGAGCGTCTAGATGTGACATACTCGCGTATGTGAACAAATATTGAACCAAAAAAAAGGAAATTTTGTTCACACCTATTCATATCAATTAAACATATCAGTATACTATTGTTGATGACTGCCGACCACGAGATCAGCTACCACTTCACCACATCCCCAACTGATGCTGAATCCATGCCCTCCGTGGCCATAGTTATGAACTATCTAAAAGAAAAACAACGATCTTTTTTATGATCACTTCAGTAAAATTATGCTTCCTTCTCGCAGAAGCTTGTTTACGTTCACGAAGTGCCATTCTTTGGGTTCGGTCCTTCAGTAATTCTCAGCTTATAATCTCTAACCTCAATGAGCATAATTAGCAAAGAAGAAAAATAATGAATAATTCTTTTCTTTTCACGCAATCTTAAATCAGTTCCGTGGTTTCCACTTAAAAATACAAAATAATGCAGACATACGAAAAATGCCTTACTTGAACAATGCGTTCACCATTGTTTTGATTCGTGCTATTCGTTGGTACAGGAAAACGCAGCGTTGTCATTTCCAGACGAACACCTCCATGTCGACCAGGCCGAAGACCCGACCACTCGTTAAGGATCGCTGCATCCTGGAATATATCAGTAATTTGATGCTATATAATTCCGCAACATTTCAGCCCCTAAGAACTAATGCTTACCTTAAGTGTTGGTTCAAGCTTATAATATCGTCCGAGAATATCATCACGATCGGTTTGCGTTATACCGAGATCATATCTGCCACCCTGTTTTACTGATCCAATGAAGAATTTATCCGTTCTTAATTATTGAATATGCAGTGAACTTATCATGAATTATAAAACCCAGAAGAAACCAACTGTTTAGAACTTTTAAAAAATTGTATGATTGGTTCATACAGATAGATTGAAGAAAAGAATCGTTGACTGATTTTGTTAATTTCGGCACACAAAAAAGCAATCTGACTATGATGAACGCTCACGTTGGAATGCTGAACGTGATGAAATCTCTGAATAGAAAGTGATTATGCCACGTCGCGTTCACCTTAATGAAAACTTGGTTAGAAGAAGGGAAGTTGAGAGTGTAAAAAAAACGAACTTTTGCTTCATCTTTATGGTCTAATTAATAGCATGCTGAGGCAAGCATAATTCACTATTCTTATTTTCACTGAGAGGCAATGTAGGGAAGCAACATTTAGCGCGATATTACTGTAAATGAGACGGAAATTTGGCATTAAAAATGGCAACAAATTTTGATGAGTAAGGAGATATTGTGCTCATCAATCAATCATCTAAAAGTCTCAGCCTCTTACTAATTTTCGATGCATATGAATGTGTCATTTGTTGAGATATTAAACATCAATATGTCAAAGTGACAATATGAACAAACTTTTGAGCCACTTGCTTACTTCAATTTGGATCATTTGGTTGGATAAACAAGAGAATATCTCAAAATAAACATGAAAGTAACCTCGAAGATAATTCCTCTAATAGGGAACATATTGCGTTCATCACCATCACCCGCTAATTTTCCACCATTCAAACCAGCACAATTCACAATCACATCAAAGTCGTTGTACAACTGAACGAGATCAGCTGTTAAATGTTATGTCGAAAGAATTTCAAAATTTGGAGAAATTAACATAATTAAGAGTAAGATGAGAACACATACTCTGACTCGAACCAGGTTTTAGTGCAAATGATTGGCTCTAAGTTTCAGATATTAGTCTTCTTGTGCCTCAGCCAAAAGAACAGAGACGGGAGAAATGACAGTCTTGGATGAGGCACACACCGATGCACAGGAAAAATCTGGTGTTGACCACTCGCAACAATGCTGCTAAGCGACCACATTTTCTTCTATCCCTCCCTTCCCTCACAATAAAGCAAATATTCATAACGTGAAATTTGCAATGCTTTTCACTCTAGAAAAAATGTGAAGGATGAAGAATTAATCAGTGCAATGAGTCAGAAAATGTTGATCACCCAGGTCAAAAATGATATTTTTAACATGTGCCCATAGGTTCCTAGCAAAAATAAGCTCATATATACGGGAACATGGTTTTTGCACTTCTAGATGTGCCTATGCATATGAAATGCGCGGATTGTGGCACTGCATTCTGAATTCTAGAGTTGTAACGTCTCGTTGTTTTAATAAACTGCACACGCCGAAGTTACACACGAGTTGGAAAAACCTATAGGAAGATTGCATCAAGTTTCACCTCGTTTAAATTCGACAAGCGTTTCTGTACGAAGCGGACGCCCTTATCAAGCAATTGTTTCTTCATCCACGGAACGTATTTGCCACCTTCGGTTGTGTATGCTGTATAGTGTATCGCGAATGTGTGACTACTATCATTTTCAGGTAATGCAAATTGTTGCATCTCATCTTCGCGAAGATAATGAAAATTATACACGATATCACCGTATATTTCGTCCTAAAACGAATTCATTTCATTCTTGATCAACACCATTTCTTTTTATAGCAATAGAAAACATACATTATCACGCAATTTCTTATGTTGGTCATCATAAACCTGCAAGTCAGCGCTTCAACGCGATTGATTTATACAAACTACGGAAGTACTTTGGAAGCAAAAAGAAAGATTATATTGATTGGATTTGACATTTATGAATTACAACCCATTTGGGAGATGCTAGATGGAAATTTCGAGAAGTAACGATTGATATTCTATGAACAATCAGATAAAATCACACGTCGAAATAAAAAATTACAAAACGAGCCGATAAAACTTCCATTACTCACTTTGAACCTCTTCCACTCGATGGAAGCATTGAAAGTTCGTTTTCTTCAACCCAAAAGTTTGTGTAGGAAATGGAAATTTCGTGAATAATTATCAATAACATACTTGTTCAACAAGTGCAGTTAAGTTGTTGGATAGAATATGCCCTGAGACTAGATTCACTCCCGTCTCACTTGCTGGTAGATCGCGGAATATTTTCGCATATCGTGCGAATGCGCGTTTTGCATAAGCCCTGCAATCAATCAAAATCCCAATGTAACGTTCAGTATGAATGGTGTGTAAATTATTTCGAAAGAACATTTTGCGTGTAAAGGTAATTGCTGTAGTTTTGTGATGCATTTGATAGGAAGCAATTCATCCACCACCCATTCAAGTCTGGTATCAATCGTAAAGGTTTTGTTTGGAAATGCTCAATTGCATTATTCATGTGATAGAAATTCAGCGAATAATTCAAATCAAATTTTTTTGATAAGTTCACTTTAAAACGATCGTTGTGAGCATTTCGTGAATGTCGCTCTCCAAATTCTCATCATTNCAATCGTAAAGGTTTTGTTTGGAAATGCTCAATTGCAATATTCATGTGATAGAAATTCAGCGAATAATTCAAATCAAATTTTTTAGATAAGTTCACTTTCAAACGATCGTTGTAAGCATTTCGTGAATGTCGCTCTCCAAATTCTCATCATTTGATGAAGGATTTCATCATGCGTAATTACAAGTTGACAATTTCATCATACTTCTTCCAGTCAATTCGTTTAATGACAGAAACGAGTGCGACATTTTGAAGCAACCAGAAGATGAATTTCTGATTGTGAGTAGTTTCTCAAATCAACGCAAAATGTTCGGTAATCTGCGAACCTTGTAGCCTCAACCGCTCAATTCAGACTCGAGTTTGGGATCCTAAACGTTGAAGAGATCGAAATATACCCACGTATGGTGCTAGACCCATACAAAATTTACAGGTAGCCAAAATTTCTCACACTTGGATTTCCAGAGGATGAAATAACATTCATTCATTTTTGTTCCACTACCATGGTTTATTCGGAAAAAAATAGAGATGAAGTATGGCAATAAAATGAACGGTCACAGTCGGATGAAATAATGAATTTTTGTTTATTTTTGATTCCACTTCTGAATACCTCTTAACATCATCAACTGATGTGAATGTGCACTTGAAGAACGCGTTCGGTGTATATAATTTGAACACTGACAACGAAAATATTGTAAAAGTTATGACCACAACTAATAATATGACGTACCTATCGTCTAAGCTATCAATACGATATAACCCAGCTGGTCCATAGCTCACAGTTTCTTCGAATGGAATATCATAGAAAACGGTTATATTAAGATGAGGATCACGCTCTATTAAAGCTAACGCCGAGGACACTCCAATAACTCCTTGGCCAACAACAGCAACACGCTTTGTTGAAGATGATGCACATTTGCCTGAATGTATATGAGTGTCAGGTATCGCTAAAATTAAATTTCATTCCCACATTATTGTTCATCGATACTTTTGCAATTTTTTGTCTAGTGAATCGCAGAATTTTTTAAACTACTTTTTGATCATTTAAGGCGATCGTATCCGACAAATAAAATGAGTCGTTTATCCTATGTTACACTAACTGTAAGATATTCACATGATATGATTATTACAGTGAGCTACTACAGTCTCATACTACTACAGTGAGCTGTGACAGTTTTGAGAGTTAATCATCAATTGTTGAAGTGAAACTAACATCCTATAGCGAAGAGCACTAAAGCAAACAAAATACGGCAATTGCACATTTCTTTTGTAACGTCTTCGAACGATCCTGTAAATCAGAAACTAGTGAAACTGAAGCAGAAAAAGAGCATCCGACCGAACGTTTGGCTGAACATAAGAGTTTAAAATGAAACTGAGCGCAGTGATAAAATTGCAGATGAAATACAAAATTCGTTTTCGGAAAAACAACTGAAATTGGGTTTACAACATCTTTTCACCCCTCCAAATGTCCTTCAACTCTTTCCTACTGTGATTACGGGTACATAAGATGAAACTATGGAAAAACTGAAGACATATGAGAATGCATATTTAAACGAAACGCTCAATCTGCGTACAGAGTGCATGTCTATGCACGAGAAATATTCTTCTTTTAAAGAACGTAAGAAAACAAGTTTGGACACAGCCAAACGAATCATCCGATGACAGTAGAGTAGAATATCACTAATGGTTCTTCGGATATGAATGCGAACAACACTTCGAAAAACAACGCAGTTAAGAAGGACAACCAACCGCATGTGAATGTGCAGTAAAAACTACAAATGTTGTGAAAACGATATGTTTCTCATACGTTGTTTGTAAAAGCTGAGAAATATTCACATGAAAACTTGATAAAGACAATCAAAAAGAGGACGTCAGTTGGATGAGTTGTGGGATATTGATGATAAAAATGAATCCAGATTCCAAAGTAATGAATTCGAAAAAATCATAATTTCAGTTTTTTTTTGTAAAATATGCGTTCATGTGTAGCTGAAAATGTGCTGAATTTATTTGATAATCCATTACAAAAAATGAGCAATAATTATTCTTTTAAAACAACTGACTCTGTTTTCTTTATTGGTGTGCTCAACAAATTGCAGTCTAAAAATGGCTGAATATCCTTGAGTCATTAAAAAGTGATACTTAATGCAATAGTGTGTTTGTTTTTGTCGTTGTTCAGTTGAAAATTTAGATCGTTTCACTCATTAAGTCGATTCCAAGATGAAGTCTTCTTCGAGATGAATTTAGCACCTCGTAGTTATATTCAGACTCAGCAGAATGTAATGCTACTGCGTAAAACATGACAATATTGAAACTCGTGATCATAAATTCCCAATCGACCTGAAAATCCGGTTTTTCTTTGCAACAATTCAATTAGAATAAATCGTGTTTTACTAATCACGAATCCAAAAAGCATTCAATTCACTAAGTTGTTGCCATTGGATCTAACTCAATTTCAATTCTTCTATCCTTTCGAAAATTTTATAACTGATTCAGTGATAGCGTCTGAATGACACATCTACAGGAAGTTGACCAGGTCGACAGCCTATTAATTTTTAGACAGTGGGAAAAATACACCAATTTCAACTTATTACCATTTTTATTGGTAAGGAAAAAGAAATTTCGATTCCAAACAGCAGTTGACATTGTTTAGTGAAGTGACGAAAGTTTTCATCAAGTTTGTTGAAGAATCATTTTATCTCTAATTCGAATATGCTGAAAACTTAAACATATAATGGTAGTATTACTTCTTGTAGATCGCAAAACTCATTAGATTTTGATTAATTATGCGTTGACTTTGATTATTAATTCTGCAAACTTTATTTATGAGTGTTCATGCGTTTACTAGTGACATGAATGAATTTCTTTGCATTGTTATTAGTTGCACACTAATTTGCTGCAATCAAAAAGGTGAATGATGAGCGATTATCAAATGTATCGTTCTCTTAAAAGGTCAGTCACTTTGAATGCAAAAAAGCATAAAGCTCTAAACGGAACTAAATGCATCTCAAGCAGTACTCAAACCGTAGTACGCACACAGAACAGAAACGAAAAAGTGATCGGATGCATTCGCGCTGTGTAATATAATCGTGAAGTACTCGACTTGCTTCACTAATCTAGACTAGAATTCTGAAGTCATTTCTTTCCCTCCAGTATCTTTATACATTGAACGTATACTATGCATCACAGTTCATAGGATACCCTCATCATTTATCGGATTGGAACCTTCTCTGGAATAACGAATGTCGAGGAGTCACTGAAAAATAAAACAGCGAAAACCTTTTTCTGCACTTCAAGAAACCGAAACATCCAGCTGTTATGCAAAATTGAAGCCTAGAAAGNTGCATCACAGTTCATAGGATATTTATCGGATTGGAACCTTCTCTGGAATAACGAATGTCGAGGAACCACTGAAAAATAAAACAGCGAAAACCTTTTTCTGCACTTCAAGAAACCGAAACATCCAGCTGTTATGCAAAATTGAAGCCTAGAAAGCAAATGGTATCGATGAGCGTAGAGTGATTTTTTGCTGAAGATTTGTTCATTTTATGAGAAAGCATAAAATGCTCCAAATCGCATAGATAATATGCTATGAGAAGGCGAAGTAGGAAAGAAGCGAGCTGTTTTGACAGAAGCTTTATTTCAAGAAATAATAGTTTCTTGAGTAGCACTCAAAAAGGAAACAACTTGTAAGATATATCTATAAAGAATCTCCTGTATTTTTTTTAAATAGCAAAACTTAAATCACAATTAATTCTAAATTCAAAACTCGTTCAGTGATGACGGTTGAATTGGCAAAAATCGGATAATAAATCATTGCAGACAACGGATTGGATCAAACTATTAATTAATTGACAGTGAAATATTGCATCACCAACTGCTCGCAACAATCATCAACAAACATGACAAAGGCGAAATGAAATGCGCAGAAAATGAGCGATTCATTTTTTACGCATTTCAATATTTCAACTTTATATATTCCTTGTTTACATATTTCAATATTTTTACATATTAGAATATTCTCTTGTTTACATATTTCAACAGAAATACAAGCGACTGGAACTGAACTAATACATATTTCAATATTCCAAGCGACCGATGCACTTCAAGAAATTTAGCTGATGATCAGCTGGCATCGAATTGATCGATTGAAAAATTTTGGAGGCAATGAAAATGATTTTTGAAGAATGATTAAGTAAATGGATACAAGGAACAATTTTTCGATTTGAAAGAATGAACAGTAATTGTTTCAAGAAACAAACAAAGAACGGATGCGTTGAGATGTAAGAATGTGATTGGTTTCAAGTTTTCTTATTTGTCAAGCAAGTGACATAATTAGCACACTTATTCAAAAACAGTCCTTAGTGCCACGATTTGTTGAAATAACGCTTATATTCTTCATGTTCTCACTTGTTCGTGCTTGACATAACTGCATCTGAAATTCGGTTTCTCAATGATAAAGGTGCAATTCTTAAGCACTGAAGCTGCAAATTGCATCGTAATCTATGGTTAGCGACGGAAAGATGAATTCATTGTCTATTTTTATAGAACTCACTGTTTTCGGAGTACTATTGAGTTGAAAATAACTGGCGCTCTCTGATGATCTGCTATCTAATTTTCTGCAATCAATATTCTATTTGATTTTTTTCTAACCCATTTGTATTGTTAACGTTATTTGCAGGTCGTATCCGAGTCATATTCTACAGAATGTCGAGGACCACATTTCTACCTCAGCCTGCACATTGATCAGGCATGCCCTAACAAGTGTACACCAATCTTCAACTCACACTGATGGTTGTCAGAAATTTTTGTTTCAGTGTTTTAGGTCTCAGTATTCAGAAACTTTCATCTCGACGTTTAAGGTGCTATTCTTGAACCCTGGAGAAGAACAGTGAAGCTATAAATTGCGTCGCAATCTACGGACAGCGGCGAAAAGACGAACTCATCGCATATTCATGCAGAACACAACGCTTGAGAATTGCACGTTAAAAAATCGAATCTCCAAAATGCATTTGATGTCGTTAGCTGGATTCTTTACGCATGCATTGTTGCTACTGTCTCCATAATTGTGTCGACAAAACGGATTCGTATTTTTCACACAATAAATGAGTTGGTATTTTGCAATTTTCATTCGTTCATCTGCTTTCCATATTCGCTTCAATGGCGTCAGATCTGAGATCCAATTCCAACTTAAGTAGCACGATTAACGTGGATTCAAGTAATCCCCCAATAATAGGGCTTATTTTCATGCTCAACTGGAGCCATACGTGTCCATTCATGCCTTTAAATTTACTCATCAATTCGGCGTCAAATTCGAAACCTTCATGATTGCCATAAATAACTGACAAAGAAAACAGAAAATTTGTTTGAAACAAGATCAAGTTATACAACAAGAAATGAATGAAATTTTAAATTTATAAGTAAAATTTCATTAAAAATTGTATTTCATACATGTGCTAATCATTTGATTCCTCGACATTTCCTAGACGTGCTAAGTTGGGCTGGGTCTGCTTTTGTTCACACTTGATCTTAGCTTAAATTTAATAACTATATATCATGCATGCATAAAGAATCAATACAGTCTATAAGAGTAGTTTATTGTTGATTGACACAGGCACATTTGTAATTCTTATTGAATTTCTCAATATTTTGTGTGAATGCGCGATTGTTATGTGAACTCATGTTCCAGTTATGGCGTTTAAACTCACTAATGAACATCATGACACTATGCTGCACAACTGAATTGGTAATTGGTTTCGTATTCACGATCAGTGGAATACTTATCATGCAGTGATCGCATTAACCTTCATCAGATCAGGTGAACTTTATTCTGCTTTTCTCACTTAGCTTTTCTCAAATACAAACCACTGCTATTACATGTTGAATACACGTGTCGAGTGTGAAAACTGTATGTCAGTGTGTGCTTTGATACGTCAACAGACGCGAAAATACCGCGGTCATCCAAGCAATCGTTTTGGATACTGTCGCAATTTTTAAAGCCGATCCGAATCTGAATCGACTCATTAATCCAACAGACATGACTGAACCATGACAATTGATGAAATACGAACGTTGTTTCACTCAAATGATGAATTTGATCGTTCATCTGATCGATGAACTAAAAAGACGTGTTGAAATTCAATGCTTTGTAAGGGTGCTTTGTTAAATGGTTAAATGAATGCGCGATGCAGATGACGGACGAGTCAAAGCTCGTTAACGCAATTCGATCCGAAGACATCAGGGCACGAGAGCATGAGCAATAAAG